AAAACGGTATTTAAGCAGAGACATACAAAAATATTACATACGTTGTCTAAAGAAAAATTTTTAACCAATTATTCTAACAACATACAGTAGTTATGCTCCCCCCCTTGTTGGAGAATTTCAAGATCGTGATGCACTAGTAGCTTATGTTCAGACTTTTGGTGCAGCAAATGGGTATGGTGTATCTATTGCACGATCAAAGCCAAACGTTGTATATTTAACTTGTGATCGAGGAGGAAGTTATCGAAACCATCTAAATCTTACTGATGAGATACGTCGTAGAAGCACCAGTTCAAGACTTATAGGCTGTTCTTTTGCTCTTTGTGGAACAAAAAAGTCTAATGGCATGTGGACTTTGTCTATTGATAACTCAGAACATACCAACTATGGTCCATCTGAAGATCCTTCGACTCACCCATCCCTCAGAAAACTAAACAATTAAGCTATAGAACAGTTGAATACAATGTCAAAAGCTGGTGCCCGTCCCCAGCAAATTTTATCATTTTTTAACCAAAATGATTTTTTAGTCCAAAATGGTTCTTCAGTTACAAGGAAATCACAAGATATTTATAATGCTCATAAAAAGCTTTGTCATGAATATCTTAAAGGAAGAATGCCCATACAAGCACTTTTGAATGACCTTAAAGAAGGCCTATTTGAATACAATTATATGTGTGACAATGAAGGACATATAACGCATCTTTTTTTTGCCCACAACAGATCTATTGAATTAACTCAGAAATATTCTTCTGTGTTATTAATGGATTGTATGTACAAGACAAATAAATTCAAAATGCCGTTACTAAACGTTGTTGGAGTAACAAGTTTCAACATGACTTTTTTCTCGTGCTTTGTGTTTTATAAAAATGAGAATAAGGATGACTATAAGTAGGCACTTATACGAGTATCTCATTTGTTCAATGAAGTTGAAAAACTGAAAGTAATCGTTACAGATCATGAATTAGCACTTGTTAATGTACTTGAGCAAGTATTTCCTGAATCAAAAAGTTTTCTCTGTCAATGGCACATTGACAAGAATATTATGAGTAAATGTAAAAAAAATTTTCATACTATAAATTATATTAGAAATACATGGTTATCATTTAAAGATCGATTTGTAAGTGCGTGGACTGATAAGTATCTTTATCTGGGAAATACTGTAACTTCGCGTGTAAAAGAAGCACACTCAACCTTAAAACAATACATTCAGGTTTGATTTTTTTTTTTGTTTTGTTTCTTAGCGTTTTTATTAAGCTAATTATGTTAGTGCTGTAATTTAAGTTAGACATAATATAACTAATTATATATGTGTGATCTTTTTCTTTTATATTTAGGTTTCAATAGGGAATCTTAATATGGTATATAAAAAAATTTTATTGTTACTTGAAAATCAACACAATGAAATTAAGGCAATGGATGCCAAAGAAAAAACACGAATTCCACATGAACAAAACATTCCATTTTACCATGAACTAGTTACCAAAGTCTCTTCTTTTGCACTAAAAAAAATCTATGAGCAGTTTCAAAAAGCATCGTCTGCAAATTCTGATAATCCTTTGCCGCATTGTACTGATACATTTAGTTTAACAATGGGTTTACCCTGTGCCCATATGATCAAAAGACGTCTTGCAGATTATCAGATATTAAACCTTCACGATATTAACAAACATTGGTGGATTGATAGTGGTATATTTTCTCAACAAAATTCAGTGCCAGAAGATAATCAATTAGAGCAATTGCTTGAGGAATTCTACCAACAATATAATACCTGGATGGTTCCACGCCAAACAAGAGCTCGAGATGAGCTATTGAAAATAATTACTAAACAACCAATGCATTTATCAGATCCAACTATTGCTTATACTAGAGGACGACCAATGGGGTCAAAGAATGATACTTAATCTACTCAAAGAATTTCCTCAACATTTGAACAAAAAGAATTGAAAACAATTAGTAGAAAGTGTAGTATATGCCATAATATTGGCTATAATAGTAGGACCTGTTCTAACCATAATTTATAAGGTAGAGGAATGTTAATGTGATAGAAATTGAGATCTGTAGTAATTGAATTGGCATAAAATATTATATAATGTATTGAATTTGGCTTTATGAAAGTTGTAATCAAATTATTCTTTTTATGAACTGGTTTGATAGCTAATTTGAAAAGAATAATATTATAGCATCATTTGAACTTTTATTAAACAAAAGTCATAAAAATTTATCAACTTAAAAATAACTCAATGTTTACTTAAAGATTATGCATAATATGCACATAAATCTTTAAATATAAAGTCATTGATATTTTCTTATAGTATTGTATAAAAAAAGACACTTGTATAAATTTTTCTGTTAAATATAATTAATTTATGCATTCCGTATTATTTACCCTTTTTTTTCGTATTTTGTATTTTTTTATTATAGTCCTCTATACCTTTATGTTTTTTTTAGTTTGTTTATTTTATTTTTTGATTTTGCTTCTTGATGAATGGGTAGCTACCAGCTGATAAACAACAAAAAAAAGTCCTTAGTGAGTTAAGGACTCTGAGGGAGGCCAAGAGCTACTGAGACAGGTCACATCTGATATATAAAATCACGTGGCTAAGTTCTTCGTTTGGTTAGATCTACTTTAGTTAGAGATAAATTTTGTAATTTTGAATAACTTGATTCTAAATAAACAAGGGCAAGATAGCTGAATTAGAAAAAAAACAAATATTTAAATGAATTATTAGAAAATATTAATAAAGTACTTTTCAGCAATCTTAATTTTGTGTATATATATATATTGATATTAGCATTAGTAAATTATAGTAAGCTTATCATTATATATAAATAAGCAGTATATTAAAAATCTAGTCTATATTTTATTAATGCTAACATATCAATATAATCTAATTAGTATTAAACTTTATAAAATAGTATTCTTAAAATTGTATATAGTCTACTCTTCCAAAACTGATCCTATCAAAACTAATTATCTATTATATTTGATAAAAAATTATTTCACTATGTTTGTTCTATAATTCAAATCTGATAATCTGTTATTTCTAATAATTGATATTTAAATGATT